TGCTTTCCGAAGCATTATGGGCTCATAGAATATCTAAACATGGTGCCGCTAAAGTCACTCCTTTTGAGTTGGTTTATGGTCAAACAAGCCGTTTTGCCGATTGAGGTAAATCTTGGCTCTCTTCAGTATATCAAGCAAGACGACTTGTTGATTGAAGATTACAAGATCTTGATGGGAGGCAATTTTTAAGACGTCATCGACAAGCGTTTGAAGACTTTGGAAGAGATGGAGACACTTCAAGACAGTGTTTTCAGAGAGTGATCAATGGGAAATACTTGAAGAAATACTTCCCTAGCGTTTGGCAAGATGCTTAGGAAGTCCCGTGGCCGGTAATTGGATTATCACCCTAAGACAACATGTTCTATGCTTTTAGATTCACGATGTTCATCAAAAAGGCAGGGGGGCATGTGTTTACACCCAAATTTGGCACCTATGGATGAAATAGGGGAAAATTGCTAAAGTTTGGAAAGCGTCGGGTTTCCTTCACAGGGTCGGTCAGACCACAGGTTTGTGGGCCGTCTGACCGGTTAGTAGGGCCGGTATGACCGCAGGCATGTGGGCGGTTAGATCATCAGGGTCCGAGTCCGAGTCTGTTTTCGTCAGGTCTCGGGTTTCCATGCTCAGGAAGGCTAAGGCTATGTTTCGTGTTTCCTTTGGTTTCAATCCCGAGTTGGATGTGGAGAAGGGCCTGTAGAGGGCAAGACCAACCCCTATTTAAGGGACAAGGCCGGTTCATTGTAAATCCCCCGAATACAATCTACTTGAATCGTTCTTTTATCATGTTTTCTATTTTACCCTAGTTTTAGTCCATCTTTGTCGATTTGCGTTGTAAATCGTCCGCCGCCGCTGCGAGAGTGCTGCACCTCTTTGTAGGTTTGTCCTGAAAACCTTCCGTTTTGCCCACGAGACGGGTAGTTATCCTCATATCGATCTAAATCGGCCTAGAGGCTAATTTTAATCTCTAAATCGGCTCCTCTAGCCGGTTTAGCTGTTTTTCTACAAAACCCATCTTGATTTGGCCCTTTGGCTAGATCGAGGTGGTTGGCGACTCCATATCACCGCAAGGCGTTTAGGTGTTGCAATCATGCTTGTCGACTTGTCATGAAAAGTTACAGCATCCAATCTACAAGACGAAGCACTCTGTAGTATGATGAATAGCGGCTCAACCGGTGAGGATGCCAGCAATCCAATCTACAAGACTACAACATGGCAAGCCAACATTGTCTCCCGTGCTCTTCCTAATTCGTGCCGCTCACCTCCTAACCCATTTTTCTTAAGTTGTGCATGGCTCGTTTCGTGCTAGGGATGTTGACGAAGCCACATCCATAGCAACTAAAGGTGAGGAAAAAAGGCAAATCTAGATAAGTAGGACTAGGTTCTTTTTTTTTACCCCTAGCATATATACTAATAAGAACTTCTTAGACTGATATTACACTTCTATAAGACTAAAATAAATCCCTTTCATATGACCTTTCATATGACTACCGGAGAACATCCTCTTACTATAAAGTTACAACCCACTAAATATTAAAGCTTAACAAGAAAAGATGCCACATCATCTTCTACTAACAAGATGACATATCATTATCCACTAACAATTATTACATTTAAACATCACGAAAACATACTATATTATCTATGTTTAAACATTATGCAAACATGCTATATAATCTATAATTTTATAATTATTAAATTTTAAAGATTTTAAAATGCAAGCATGTTAAATCATCGGAGAAGACTAGGCGTCGAGAGCCCGATGGGGAGTGGTAAATCGGGCGCCCACGTCATGCTGACGTCAACAAGATGCATGCATGTTTTTTTCTCTTAAATTATCTATCCATTCATGATCCGATTGCACCATTAAATTTGTTGCAATTAAATATTTAAAACAAGAACGCACATGGATATTTTCCAATGAAAAAAATATTTAGCTTATTATTGAATTATTTTTAAATGTTGCACGTTGTTACACCAAGTATATCGGAATTGTTTTACTAAGTAGATCAAAAATGTTTCAATCGTTTAAATCGGGCATTGTTTCACCTTATATAAAAACAATGTTTCAGCAAATAGCGAAAGAATGTTTCAAGTCACTGCAACATTTGATTCATATATAGTGAAACATTACAAGTACATTAGGTGAAACATTTTTTGTGGAACAAAAAAACAAACGAATTCCCTTAACAGAGAGTTTCTATAAGATGTGGGTAATTTGTTACAACAGAATGTTTGAATTCACTACAACATTAGATCTATTTATAGTGAAGCATTATGAGTACACTAGGTGAAATATTTTTGTGGAATAAAAATTGAAACGAATTCCCTTAATATACGATTTCCAAAATATGTAGGTAATTTGTTGCAACGAAGTATGTGGTGGGGACATGTGGCGAGTGTTTACAGGGGCACACGTGGTGCGTGGTGGGCTAGCGCGGCATGCGCGCGTCGTGCGGCGGGGGGAGCGCCCGATTTTTGCTCCCCCTGCAGGTCGACCGATCCCTGGTGTTTCCGCAAACCATCATGTCACATAATTAACATAATATTTCAATGAGTAAATTTCAGAAAACTACAACTTAAGTAACAAAACTATCAGTTTGCTGCAACATTAGCGACATGTTTCAGTTTGCTGAAACGATAACATGGGAAATTATCATAAAACTGCAACTTTTATGTTTTATCCTACTACAGTACATATAGGTGACAACTGTAACAGCATATAACGTAAAAGTTACAGTTTTGTGATAATTTTCCACGTTATCGTTGCAGCAAATTGAAACATGTCGCTAATGTTGCAGCAAACCAATAGTTTTGTCACTGAAGTTGCAGTTTTTATGAAATTTACTCTATTTCAGTATGTTGCTTCATTATTTTTTATAATATCCTATGTACCTATTTAGTTCATCTTCACTTAGTTGTTATTTCTCCCTTCTCTAATTAAGCCATATAACATCAATTGCTTTTAGCGCTTAAATGATTAATCTATGGTCCAATTATCTCCCTCCTTTTCTTCTCTCGTTAAGTTATATCACCTCAATTGTTTTAAGCCCTTAGATAATTAAAATATGGTCCAAACTATCTCCCTACTTTTATTCTCTCGTAAAACCATATCATATTACTTTTATATTTGAATTATCATTTTATATAATATTTAAATTTAAATTATCACAAACCACATCAACTTACATAATCTTATATAGTGTAACTATCTTACACATTATTTTTACTTATTGATATCCTACTGAACTTCCACAGCAACACACAAAGTTTCACCTAGTTTAACTAAAGCTAGGTGACAGTGGTGACATGTGGTCACATTGTTATGGACCCACATATTAGTGGGTCAAGGGCACCTACCGTTACGATAGAGGAGCTGCTTCCGGAAAATTGAACACACTCAAATAGTGTCAGGTTAATTTCTTTGTACTAGCTATCATCGTTAACACTGAAACATATCAAGACAAAATTATAAAAATTAAAGATGTTTTTGCCGGTATTTTGCTACGTCATCCGTGTATGAGTCGGTTTTTAAGTTCGTTTGCTTTTGAAAATACATATCCGTATTTGAGTTGGATTTTAAAATTGTTCACTTTTGTTAATACAGAAAGAATTATATAAGAAATTTATTTAAAAAAACTCGCATGCTAACTTGAGACGATCGGAGTCCTAACTGCAGCTCATGATTTTCTAAAAAATATATATCCAAGCGAACTCCCACAGTGAATTTCATCTTAACTAAACCATATAATAACAAGATTAAAATAAATTTTACCCGTTGCAACGCACATTTTTTTCTAGTCATCAAGACAAAAGTAAAACAACTACTATAGTTATTAATTTAGATCCAGACAAAAATGAAACAACGCCCATAGCTATTAATTTTATTAACTTGTACTCCTTCAGTACTAAAATATAAAAATCTAAAATCGGATTGGATATTTTTTAATTTCTTATATTTTGTGAGGGAATATAAATTTATAGAGTTACATATAGAATACTGAAGTATATACTAGTTGCGTAATTGTGACGCCCCGATTTTCGTTCGGGATTAAAAATCATTTAATAAGGCATTTTCTAGAAATTAAATAAAAGTTAAAGCTAGTTAATCAAGTGAAATTATTGAGGGAATTAAAATTTCCTTTAAAATTCATGGCCGGGAATATTTTGTAATATTCTTTGTGCCCTAATGTACTCTCCGGAATTTTCCGTGAATTTTCGGAGCTCAAGAAGTAATTTTAATAGCACAAAGTTCATTTAACCAATTAGAATAAAAAGAAAAGAAAAATAATTTTCCCCTTCCTTGCTTTCGGGCTCGGCCCAAATTCCTCCCCTCCCCATCTCGGGCTCTCTCTCTCCCTCGGCCCAGCTCGCCGCTCGGCCCTCTCCTCCCCGAAGTCTACTTTGCCTCCCCAGCCGGCCTCCCTCTCCTCTTTGGCCGACAGGTGGGACCCATGGGCCCACCTGTCATCCCCAACCTCAGGCCGGCAACTGCCGTTGCCGCCATGGCCGCCGAAAACCGCCCACGTCGCCACCATTCCCGGCCTCCTCGAGCCCTCTCTCGCGTGGGACCGGGAGCCACCCCTCTCCTCCACCTCCTCCCCCGCTTTTCCCCAAATTTTGGCGCCGAATCGAGCCCCACTTCGCCCACGATGTCGCCCACGTCGCCGGCCGTTGCCGCTTCAAATCCGCCACATCCGGCCACGATTTCTCCTCCCCGAGCCTATAAAAATGATCCCCGTGCCATCCTCCCCCTTTTCCCCAATTTTCCCGAACCCGCTGCACTCCCTACCGCTCTCCCCTCGTTGCTCCCGCGCTCTGCTGCTTTCCGGCGAGCTCCGGCTGTACGCCGCCGTCGCTGTAGCCGCCGCCGCGCCGCGCCGCTGCACCGTCGGCTCCGCCGCTCTTTGCCGCACACCGGCCACCGCCCCGTTTCCACAAAACTCCGCCGAAACACCACATCCACCGTGCACCCGAGCCACAGCCGCCTCTCGTCACCTCCAGTCGCGCGCCACCACCGCTCCCGTCGCTGCCGCGCTGCGCTACCACCGCCATCGGCATCGCCGTTCCTCGCCGCACCCCGGCCCCTACTCCGTTTCCCCTCCCTGCCCCTGGAACGCCGCCGCCGCGTTCACCATCTCTCTCCGCCGCCACCGCCGACTCCAGCCGCGTCGCGCCGCCGCTTCGGTCGACGTCGACTCGCGCCGTTGCCTCCCTCAGCTCCGCAAGGACGAGGAGGACCTCGGCCGCCGCCCCTCTTCGCCGGAAATCCGCCGGAGCTCCTCCTTCCTCGGTCGCCGGTGAGCTCTACCTCTTGTCATCGCCATCGGCCTTCGTTTCCAGTCACCCCGCATCGGTCCTCCCCTCCCTAACTCCCTCTTCTCCTTCTGAAGGTCAAGGGCGACCCCGTCCGCCCTCCGTCCTCGCAAGCCGCCATTGGGCAATCGTCGTCGCCGTCCTCTTCCTCCGCGTCGGCCGCCGCTTCCGGTAAGGATCTCTCCTCCCTTCCTTTTTTTTCCCGTCCCCCTTTCTTGCCGACCGCCGCCTCTTGGGGTGCGTCGCCGTCCCCGTGCGCGCCGCTGTCCTCCGGCCGCCCGCCGCCGTTCCACGTCGCCGGCTGCTGCAGCCGGTTGCCGCCTCCCCCTTGCCGCCTCCCCCTTGCCGCCGCCTCCCCCTTGCCGCCTCCCCCTTGCCGCCGCCTCCCCCTTGCCGCCTCCCCCTTGCCGCCGCCGCGCCATGTCTCGGCCGAGCCGGCTTCATGCCGTGCCCGTGCCCCAGCCGCGCCGCCTCGTGGCCGTCCGATCGGCTTTGGGCCGATCCGGGCCGTCGGTTCCTGTGGACCGCCTCGGTGGTCCCAGTCCACGGTGGACCGGCGCCCTTGTGCCGCTGACCGGTGGGGCCCGCTTGCCGGCGCCGCCCCTCCCCCTTGATGACGTCAGCGAGTTCCATTTCCTTTGTAAAAATAAATAATAATTGCGCAATAAATCGAGTTTAATTCTAGAAATTCATTTAAATGGCTCAAAACTTCTAAAATTCATATCTAATTCATTCGAACTCCGAATTGAGCCATTCAACTTGCAAAATTCATCTAAAATTGAGCTCTACATGTTTGTTTACTTTTTATGTACTGTTTTCTTGGTTTTTATTAGAGTTTTTCCTCGTTTTGCGTGCCAGCGTGTAGAATCCGTTGTTTCGGAAGTCCGCGGTCGCGAGGAAAAGAGTTCGGAAGATTGTTTTGAAGAAGCAAGGCAAGTCACACATTCCCCTTGAGCATGTTTATCCTAATTTATAAATGTTTTACCGTTTACAAATAAATATGCATGTTTTGCTAATTACATGGGATCTGGGTATTACCTATCTGCTCGCTTGTGCCATGTTTACTTGATATCTGTTCTTTGTCAACCTTGGGTAATAAATCGACTAGCTCATGTTACTTATGTGACCTAGCTAGAACTATATGCTTAGCCATGCTTAATTACTACTAGCTCAGTTGATGGGATAATTACAGTATTAGACCTTTTTAGTATCAGAATGAGCTATGTGCTCAAGACATCTGGCCATGCTTCATGGTTATAATTATCCAACTAAAATGCGACTGAATGGTGGGCTGTGGGTGCATGGTTTTGCTAGTCGCACCCATGGCAATTAAGGACCGGTTCGCGGGATGCCCTGGAAGAACTTATCGTACTTACCACAAGCCAGCGTGGGCAACGGCTGGGCTTGTAGTGTAGCTTTCCTCTAGCCGACGCATCCAGGCAAGGGTGGGCGTGATGGAGTTTGGATGGGCCCTGCGACGGCCTATGCGGCTTCCGGATTCACCTAGGCACGAGAGGGGACTGCCCGCTGCCTTGCGAGGAGTGGGGGTGAAACCTGAGGTGTGGTGTGCTTGGTTAGAGGGGGTTATGCGAAGGGTCCTGTCACGGCCTCTTTCCGGTATGTCGTGGTGGCATGTCGGCGCACGGAAACGTGTCGTGGGGCTGTGTCTTGTGGGTACAGTTGTACACCTCTGATCAGAGTAAAACTATTCGAATAGCCGTGCCCGCGGTTATGGGCGGTCGACCAGATTCACCGTGATTAGTCTCACACTTAATAAATCGACCCAATGCACTGTAGTACAGGTGGGTTGGTTGGGCCTGTTCAACGTGGTGTAGCGTTGATCAGTGGAGATTTTAATGTTACTTTAATTACTCAACAGTTTTACTGTTTTGTTCAATAAAATGTTTTACAACCGCCTTTATGCAAATAGCCACAAACCGTCCTTGTGTTCCCCTTGCACGCCTGCATCGTTGGTGTGGCTTGCTGAGTACGGTGGTTGTACTCAGCCTTGCTATTATTCCCTCTTTTCAGAAGTGTAGTGCTTCTGAGCTGAAGATGGAGTTAGAGGACCAAGGCTCAGACCCCAGTTGAGTTTTGCCTGTGGAGTGGAGCTGAAGCCCCGCTAGGATCGCCTTTTTCCGCTGCTGCTGCTTTTGTTTCGGTGTGAGGACTAAGTGCCTCTTCTGTAAGTATTTTACGCTTTATTTACGTTTGGGACTGTGTATTACTTGTCGTTTTGTGTACCCTGGCTGGTCCTGGACAGGGATTTAATACACAAAATAGTCTGGAAATTTGGGCTAAATTTCTGGGCGTGACAGTAATCATGTACGACTTTGCATTCTAGAACCCCTTTATCCCAGTAGCACCATCCCATTTGCTGCCCATGCTAACCTCTCCTCAGACCTAGCTTCCATCTCTACCTCCGCTGGCGCACCGCCCTGAACATCAGCCTCCTCTTGCTCGTCGACGGCATCCCCATTCTTCTCCTCCGGCAAAGCCTCCACAACCGCTAATGCTCCTCCCGATGACAGCGACGATGATCAATTTGTTAGTGTGAACGCAAATATGATCTTGCGGCTAAACCAAGTCGGCAGAGAGATTTTTTTGGACGATCGCTACAGTGATCGACCTCTCAAGAACATCCCTGATCGGGGGATTTACCGCCTCTTCTAGTGCCGGTTCCCCCTGTGTATAGTGGCTATAAATAGAGATAAATACCTAAGTATTAAACCCTAAGTTTTCCTTTGCTACCCGATCAAGCAAAACCCACTGAAAACACAGGGAAGAACCGAGACACGATTATCTCTGTGCTTCCAAACGAAAAGAGAAGAAAGAAGAACAAAAGACAGAGACATGGGAACTCCTGGAGATCAAGGTATGACCCAATCCCATTCCAATTTGTAGTTCCATTTTGTGCCAAACCGATCCAAATCATGCAATCCAACAATGGTATCAGAGCAAGGTTGGCCTCAAATTGGAACTCAGTAAGTGTTCTGTGCAATCCAATTAAATTTGTTTTAGTGTTTATGTTCAAGTTGTTCTTCGTGTTCATGCCCAAATCCCTCTGTTAAAGTTGAATTGAGCCCAAATCATGCAATCCTGAGGTATAAGAAACGAAATTAGGCCTACTAGGGTTTCGGCTTGAAGAAAATAGAAGAAGGGGAAGGCAAATTTCATGCAAATCTCAGAAATTCCCCAAGAACCAAAACCCTAGCAACAGTAAACCCCCCCCCCCCAAAAAAAAATTCCCCAAATCATGGTACCCTAACCCTAAAATCATGGGGAAAAGGAGCGCGGCGGGCTTACCTAAGGGCCATGGTGGCCGGTGGCAACCACCGTGTCGCCACCGACGCTGTAAGAGGCGAGCGTGCGCTCGAGGACTTGGTCCCCGAGCGGCCTCGTGACCCGCCGTGCTGGCCCGGCTCCTCCTTGCATGCTTGCTGTCGCTGAGGTAGCCGTTGCCGGCCCCGTCTCGCCGTCGCTGCCGCAGATCTCCCTTGCGCGAGCGACCGGCGGGTACATTAGGGCACCGTCGAGCAACGCTCAACGGGGATGCGCGCCAGCTATGGCGGCACGCAGCCCCGGCGAGCAAGGCTCGGTGGCACCATCACCGACCCCGTCGTGCGCCGTTTCGCCGCCGTCGTCGTCGTCTCGCTCACGTCGCCGCGGGTGTGAGAGAAAGAGAAGAGGAGAGAATGGGGGCTAGGGTTTCTCGGGGGGCGGCCGCCGCGCCGGTTTTGTCCCGCGCGGGAGCGATCCCGGCCGTCCGATGAGATGGACGGCTCGGATCGGCTCGCTCCCGACGCAGGCTGACGAGGCCGTGCGTAAGGGGTCGAACGCCGGCCCAGGCCCAGGTTGTTGGGCCTGGAGCCCAGGCGGGAGGCGGCGCGGCTGTGATGGGCCAGGCCAAATGCGGCCTAGCTCGGGGAAGAGGCCCAGCTAAAGTTTCAATAAAAAAATTAAATTATATTTGGTTTAATTCTTAAATTGGCTGCATAGTAACGGGCTGCATAGTAACGTGTCTAAGAAAAGGATTGGGCTAAAATGATATTACAATTAAATTTTTCTTTTTAAAGAATTATGATTATGATTATTGTGTTTAAACTTTAAATATATTTTATAATGCTTTAGTTAATAATAATAAAAATAATAAGTGACTTTATTATATGGTAAAATTCTCTTTTATTTATCTGTTTATTTTATGATCATTACATTATGTTTATTACTTAAAGTTATTATTATTTTATGCATTGTGAGTTTATTTGCGCTGCAAATAAATATTGTAATTAAGTGTGACAAACAATTGTCATTCTGGCCAAAGCTGATTGAATTTTATTTGATCACAAAATTTTATTAATTCAATTCAAATCTGGCCAAAGTTGTTCTGATTGAATTAATAAAAGGAGTTTTTTTTAAACAAATTAATAAAGTGTGGTTTGTATTTATTATTCTGGCCAAAGCTGTTATGGATTTGACCAGCATCTTATGCCTCACAAATTGCTGGAATAATGGGCAATATTGAACAACTTAATGGAAGTAATTATGCTTCATGGAAGGAGAAGCTGGAAATTACTCTAGCTCTGTTGGATATTGATTACGCCCTCCATAATAATCCTTTGATTGAGCCTAGACCGGAAAATGAGAATTATGAGACCCTTAAAAAGGAATATGATGAAGTAAAGGCAAAATGGGATATTTCAAACCGTAAATTCCTTATGATTATCAAGAGCTCCATTATTGACGCAATAAGAGGAGCAGTCCCAGAGACTCAGACAGCCAGAGAATATCTTGCTAAAGTTGAGGAACAGTTTAAAGGCTCTTCTAAAGTTTATGCCACCACTCTTATTAAAAGATTGGTCAATGAAAAATATGATTTTACTGGAAATCTGAGGGAACATGTTATGAAGAAATGTCACGTGGCCTTTAAGCTTAAATCAATGGAAATGAAAATCTCCGAAGGTTTACTTGTCCATTTCATTATGTCATCTCTGCCCCAGGAATTTTCTCCGTTTACGATCGATTATAATGCAATGAAGATCAAGTGGGGCATTGATGAATTAATAGCCATGTGTGTGCAAGAAGAGGAAAGGCTTAAGGCAGAAAGAGTTGATCATGCGAATCTATTTAAACACTCCGAGAAGAAAAGGTATAAAAAATTTAAGAAAGAGTTTTTGAAGCCTAAGCCTAGTCAATTTAAAGAAAAGGGGAAATGTTCAAATCAATCCCAGTAGAATAAATCTGGAGGAAATCCCTATACAGAAGAAAAGGGAAAAGAAAAGGATGGGTGCTACTTTTGTGGAAAGAGTGGACACCGCCAAAAGGACTGTATTGGGTTTATGAGATGGCTCAGTAAGAAAGGTACTGATGTTATTTCTTTTGTTGATGAATCCCTGAATATTGATTATGCCATCAATTCTTGGTGGATTGACTCAGGAGCAACAATTCATGTTGCAAATTCCTTGCAGGGATTCACTATGAGGAGGACCCTAAGAAGAGGGGAAAGAAGAATTAAAGTTGCTAATGGAGTTGAAACTGAAGTTAAGGCCATTGGAGACTTCATTCTCACACTTCATACTGGCTTCAAATTTCAGCTGCATGACGTCCTTTATGTACCCTCTATGAAAAGGAACTTAATTTCCGTTTCACGTTTAGATAACGGTGGTTACTATTGTACTTTTGGAAACAATAGATGTATAATTATGCATGATAATAAAGAGGTTGGTCTCGCCGATGGGCAGGAACAACTTTATCAAATCTCCGTGTGCGATGCCACCTATAATGTTGACTCCTCCTTAAATGCAAATGTCAGTACCAAACGAAAACATAACGATAATGAGACTTCTTCGAAATTATGGCACTATCGTTTGGGCCATATTTCGAGGGGGAGAATTGAGCGTCTCATTAAAGAAAAC